CCCCGCACACAGACACACACACACCCCCCCCCCCCCTCAACAGGAATATTAGTGGCACACTCCCACTCACACACACACACACACACACATTCCCGACCACATGCCTCCGAGTGTGTTTGTCTCTTCCCATCAGTTGTGTTGATTGACAGATAGGCGTGTTTTTGTTCTTCTCTTTATCCGTCACTGAGTCTGGTTATGATTCATTAATGACTACACGTTTACATGCACACTTCTATTCTGCTGTTATTCCAAATAAGACAACATTCTGAATTTGATATGGTTCATGTAAACATCACATATTCCGTTTGGATATTCTGAATTGGTTCCTTTTTCTGAGTGGAGCATTTTGTGTTATAAACATGTGTTGTATGTTATTGTTCAGATGAGGATGTGGCATGAGGTCGTTTTACGTTCGTCTGAATATGCACGGCTGCATTTAAACAGGAATATTAGTGGAATATTCATTTTCATTAATCATGTAAACGTAGTGAGTGATACCTCCATGAAAGCTCAAATATCTTCCGGTTGCAGGAATGCACTGGAATATCATCATCCTGCCTGTCGTCACCGTCTTTTGCTGCAGATATTAGAATGACGTCACACCCGAGTTTTAAAAGTTTTAAAAAACTGAAAATGGTTCACAGCAGCCAGGTTAGCTATTGTCAGCAACACCAGTAGATATCAACGCATTACGGCGGTAATTTGAGGGTATAAACACCGGAGCAACGAGGCGTCAGCCTCCGGTTCTGAAAGTTGAAGCCGATGCTGAAGTGTTAAACCTGCATTCTCTCTAATGTCCACCAGGGGGCGGCTCCTCCAGTCGGGACAGTGTGGAGGGTCCGTTTAGAGACGTTTCTTTGGGTTACAAGAATATAATTTAAATTGGAAAAAAATTGCATGTTTCATTCAGAGGAGGAACTTTCAACAACACTGACTCCTGTGGTAGCAACACAACGTCAGACAGCAGCACTGACATCAACTGAAAATAAGCTTTCAGACAATCTGTTTGTCTATGTGGCATAAATAAAAACAGTATTATGGAGGAAAACAAACAGAAGAGCATTCACTGACACGCTGTAGATTTAAAAACTGATTAAAATGTGAGGAAGCGTCAGAAGGTCTCCACCTATGAGAGTGAAGGAGGTGTGGCTGAGTGAGAGCCTGTGAATGACTCACTCATTGTTTATTTCTAACTTTCTAAAAGAGACCCTCTCATAGCCGACCCCGCTCTCCCCTAACAAAGCAAACAGGGAGTGTTCTGTCCTATGTGATGGTTGATTGATGATTTTGGATTGTTTGTTGGACAAAAAAGCAATTACAGACATAAATTAGGTCTCAGGAAATAAAAAAAGCATTTAATTTCCTTATTTTCTGACATTTTTCGGGCCAAAGTATTATAATAATAATAATAATAATAACAATCATTAATGCAGCCCTACGTGGAATCCTGCGGTGATTAGTTCCGACTCTTCATCGTGGTTCACCCTCTGGACTACGAGGTGTATTTGGGAGGTGAGACGTGACCTGGCCAGCGGTGACTGTGAGCTCTGTGGCTGGAATTTGTGGCGTTTGGGAGAGGAATGGAGGAGGAATGGAGGAGGCAAGTGGTGGTGGGGGGGGGTTGGGAGCGGCATGTTAGACTCTCTTTTCCAGCTGGTGCTGAGGGGTCAAACTGTGTGTGGATGTGTGCATGTCATGGCCTCTCATTAGGGGGTGAGACGCTGCGGCTCCAGACCCCCACAGTAGGATAGCTGGGCCAGTCTGCAGTGATCCTGCCACTTTGATGCCCCTGACCCCACCACCCCCACCAGGAGGTTAATGAGCCACAGTGAGCTCTGTAGGCATGCTGTATTAGAGAGTGTGTGTTGTGAGATTTGAGGTGGGGGCTTGAAGAAGAGGTGCAAGGAACCTCCAGACCCCTGATGCACTTTATTTTCACTGCGGTCCCTCACAGATCAGATGATCAGGCCGTGTGTGTGTGTGTGTGTGTGTGTGATAAAGCTTGGTTTATGGTTGTGCACACATACTGTTTGTAGGAGGTGGACGTAGTGGCCATGATGTCATCACTGGTTTGTGGGCTGCTGTTTTTGTAGTAAATCAGCATTAGAGACGCTGTTCAGAAGTTGCTTTATGGTTCTTTAATCAACATGAATCTGTCAAAAACAGAAGCTTTGTGGAGATTATGACGCTCATCACCCTAATTTAAATTTTCAACTTTTTTATAATCAGATTTAGCCCAAACTTTACTAAAGATTTATTTTTTTCTTTGGCTTGAAAATGTATTAAATAGTATTATATGTTGAGCCTGTAACAGGCAAAAGTGACTGACTGTAAATATATATTTAGTTTTAAATATGAGAAATTATTTGGACAGATGTGAAAAACTAATTAAACAAAAAGTAATTAATTATAAGTCAAATATATTCTTCTCCATTACATATTAAATATCAAAGTTTTTTTCTCTGTTCTTACTTCTTTGACACATAAAAATCCACAAACGTATTGAAGAGATCTCGTCTTTGTAGATCATGTGAACTACGTTCAGACACAGATGATCTGCTCTCGTTCACTCGTCTCGTGTTGCTTTGAGATCTTTGAACTAGATTTCTGAGCTGCTGAATGTTGCAAACCAGCACCGGAGCTCCATCCTTTGGGTGTTTGTGACTTCTGTCTACACGCCTCTCATGAGTTCATTTAGATTTACTGCCCTGACATCAGTCATGTCTGACCATAATTACTAGTTCATCTCTCCCCCCCCAATCCCCCCCCCCCCCCCCCC